CTACTTTCCTTTGTATGCAAAAGAACTGTCATTCTGCTCCTGAAGCCCAAGGGTGAAACATGAATTTTGTGTCCAAAATTCAAGACATGTAAGGATAGAAGAAAGCTGTCAGGACAGATAAGTGTGCTTGCACGTGACCTCCTCCAGGCTTCCTCTCACATGCTCCTGAAACACTGGGGCCTTGAGGAAAAAAAACCAGTGGAAGCCTGGAGAATCCTAGGAGAAGCAGGCAGGGCAATGCAAGTTGAAGAAATTCCCCAAAAGGGAGGTGGTGAATTCCAGGTGGGGGACTGGTGAGCAAGGTAATGCAAGGCAAGGAAGGGGTTCAAGGGCAAGGCAAGACAAGTGGTGGCTTTGACCAGGCAACACAAAAGAGAGGGAGGCAAGGCAATAAGAGTCCTTGAAGGAGAAGGAAATGAAAGATTGGAGCTGGACAAATGGGAAGGAAAAGAAGGATAGGTGACCAAGTCAATGCAAGGCACTGGGTTAGTATGAAGGGCAAGGGAAGGACATGCATGGGTCAGGAAGGCAAAGGAAAAGAAAGGAATGGTCAGCAATGACAAGGAAATGCAAGATTGGGTAGGAAAGGCGAGGCAATGTGTGGGAGGGATAGGCAACACAACGCATATCTTAACAGGAAATGTCCATGCACAGCAAGGCCAAGAGAAAAGTGGTAGAGAGGTCAAGGTGGGAAAGAGGTGAGTGCAGCTAAGAAAGAAAAAAGTGCATAGCTCTCTCGTGTGTGTGTGTGTGTGTGTGTGTGTGTGTGTGTGTGTGTGTATAAAGTTTGCAGGATGTAAAGCAAGGAAAGCTGTCTCTTGATTGTGGAGTGAATGGATGTTTTCGAATGTAAGTGGCAAGGTCCAAGCAACCTTTTCATCCTGGCACATCTGTGTGTGTGAGACATAGGCAAAAACTTCTCCATTTAGATTCAGACTGCAAGCAGGACACAGAATGTGACGGTGCAAATAGCTGAGCAGAAAAGCACATCACATCAGTGTGTTTCAGCAGAAGCAGTTTGTGTGAGAAGGAGATGGACGAGTGGGACTCCAGCAATATGACAATGCACTCAGCTGAGAAGCAAAGTGCAGTGCCTCGGTGCATGCCCTGAAAATAAAAGGCTGCAAGGAAAAGGCAAGGGGACAGGTCAGTGAAAGCTTTCTGTCCTGGTACACTGAGCTGTGCCACTGTCCTCTATCAGTTTGAAAGCTGTGCACACAATCCCAATGTTGTGCAGCTTCGTTCTTCACCTCTTGGAAGCTGCTGTGCTCTCTGTTTCCCAAAGGCGAAGAAGCAGCTTCTTCACACACAGAGCATTGTGCCGGTCATGGAGTTCTCCAGAGCGCGGCTTCTCCCGAAAGACGCCCGGGACTGGCGCATACCTTCGGAGAGCTCTGTATCTTCATATTCTGTGTCTCTTGTCGCCTGCATCTTAGCGAAAAGCTTTTCCACTGCGTCTCACAAGGAGAAACTGTCCCAGCACTGCAGACATCCACTGATCTTGTCTGTGAACTTTGTATTTGCTGCACATTCAAGAAGCACTCCTGTTTCTTAGTTAAGCTGCAAGTTGCTTTCAGATTGCCATGCTCTCTGCCCCCTCCTGCCCGGGGCGAATAGACACAGGCACATTACAGCCTCGCAGAAGGAAAAGATCTCGAGAGATGTCACAGTGCATACGTGTAGCAAGCACAGATGCTGAAAAGGGACAAAACTGAATAACATCGCTTCACTTCAGTCCTTCATGTGAGAGGCAGCTGAGGCAGTGCCTTAATCCATCAAAGACCCCCCAAAGTGCTCCCACGAGTCATTCCTGAGGCCTTGCAGCACACGACAGCACGTGATGCAACAAATGCGGTGTCTGTTGTAAGAGACAATGGCAAACTGCCCCCCTTCCCCTGCTGGAAGGTGCCTGGATTTTCCTACCTGGCTTGAGGATATATTAACCCATCAGATTCTATGCGTTTTGGAGGGACCTTCACCACCAAGAAAAGCAGCTGGAGAGGATCAACAGAGCATCATTGGGATCCACAGAGTGGTGATATTTTCCTTATTCTGTCCCTGTTACTCTCTTTCTGTCCCCCCTACCTATTTCCTATTTTTTTTTTTCTCTCTCTCTCTCCCTCCCATATTTACTATCAAATAAAACCCATACCATTGTCACTGGCATATGGTCTCGTTTGCACCCTAATTCAGGCAGGGGTATTTCTAAAGGACCTTCGTAATCAGATCTTGACATTTTATTGGCAGGCAGGGGCATTTCTAAGAACCTTAGTAATTGGATCTTGATGGGGGGGGGGGGGGGGGGACGGACGGACTCCAGAGAAGGGGCTTGACCTGGAGGGGGGAAATTGCATCACCACTTGTCCTCCTAATTGGTGCTTTTTATCAATTATTCTAATTTCCTAAAACCTATTAAAATGTACTCATCCCTGGGGGGGTGGGCTTTTGTGGACATCTTTCCATAACTGCCCCTAAAGGCCTTCAAATAAAGATCTGCTCTTCTATTACCTCCTTACTAAAATTATCTCAAGTTTCATTTCCAGGTTGGGAAAAAGGCAACACTGTTATGCATAATGGTGTTAGCAATCAGGAACACATAATCACAGAATGATTATATGCAGGTGCTTTTATTGAAGAGCTCTGGGTTTCAGCGGTACAGACCCAAATCTGACTCCACCATGGGTTCGGGGTGACACGTTTTTATATTCTATCATTATATAACTTACATACTAATTATTAAACTTACATTGTTCTATTGTATACATTGATTTCATCCAAGCATGGGTTTCTCATGATCCCCCTCAAACCCTTGAACATAGTTTCTCATGATTCTTTTTACAATTAAACAATAATAATATCTAATTACTAAACAATCATCACATCTAACAATTATATAATTTATCATATACTGGTTACACAGGTGCAGTTTCACATGATCTGGCAAACACAAGGCCTAACATTTCCCAGGGCCTACTAAGCCTAACTTTCTTTCTAACTCCCCTGAATATACCATGATTTTAGAAACATTTTATCCCTATACTATCAATGGGGCCCTGCTCTCCTGGAGATGGCTGAACACCTGCTTGCCCATGGGAAACAGTGAATCGATTCCTTGTTTTGCTTTGCTTGTGTATGCAGCTTTTGGTTTAACTATTAAACTATCTTTATCTCAACCCACAAGTTTTCTAGATTTTAGTCTTTGGATTGGGGAGACCAATCATACAGATGGGAGAGTGTCGCAGCATATGTCACAGTTGAGATGGCGATGATATGCAGAGTATCATCATACAATTTCAGAAAGCTTCAACCCATACAGAGTAACTCCATATCACTTCAAAAGGCTTCAAGTGTCAGCCCCTCTTGTTCTTTAGCCCAACCTTTTATACCCCTCATCATTCATGCATAGCACCTGTATGCCTTCTGTTCCCTTTTGTGATTGGTCAGTACCCCTTGGCACTCCATGTCTCATTGCTTTCAATACTGTTCACCTGCTTTTCACAGTTGTAGCCCATTAAGGATGAGGCTTGGCCACAACCCCACTCCCAATTACCACAAACTGTGTACCTACAGGGGAGTGACCAAGCAGCTACATGGTGCTTGGTTGCTGGCTGGGGTTAAGCTACAACACTCCCTCACCTGTGGAGCAGTTTAAAACCCATGAATCAGGTCTTATATTTCTACTTCCCTCATGTCCTTATTGTCAGGGTATAATTGGAATGAATTATTATGTTAGTGTATTCCATGATCCTCTGCTTTGTGCCCTGTTGGGAAGGATGAAAGTTTGACAAAGTCTCACAGATATGTATGCTTAGCAGAAAGATTTTTAAATGTAGAGTCTGATGAAGGAATAGAGATGGAGGCGAGTTTTGATATAGAAGAAAAGAATTGCTGAGCCAGTCTTACTGGCTAACCAAGGAGGCAAAGGGTATGTTAGTTAGAAGGGGTTTTTATGACTTAGAGCAAAGGATAAACCCACCTCAAACAAGAAGATGTTTTTACCAAGCAGAAAGATAGCACAGGCAAACAAGTCAGCAAAGTTGCAAGTAAAAAAAAGGTCTCAGAATTTTCCACTGCAAGAAAACTGAAAAACAACTTCTAGCTTAAACTGTAATGTACTAACTTTTAGTGATTGGAGAATAGTAACATGAATATGGTAATTATAGTAGTTATCATAGGCTATAGAAATTTCCCCCCATTCACCCCAGTTTTTTCACCGTTTCATCCAACAGCCTGAGCTTTTTTGAGGCTGCTGTCAAATGCCTTGCCTTGAAACCTAGAAGTTTCTCAGTTCACCCGCTAAGAAACATGGAAAACAGCTCAAGTCAATTTCAGAATTGCCCTGAGCAGAGCTGGTGTTTCGGTACCTGATATTACCATTGCGATTATGTGCAAGAATCACCATTTTATTAGGCAAACATTTGAAATACGCTAGCAGCTTCATCTTCTTGTCGTTGCAGTCCTTGGAAGTTTTACTATTTACTGAAGCAGGAAACAGATCAAACACATGAAGATTAAGAATCCAAGCTCTCTGGCCATTGTGCAAATAGCAGTTGATGACTTCAAGGTACCGTTGTAACATACAGAATGGCTCTATGCAAGAAAATGGACGTGTTGTCCTTCACAGGGGCAGAAAACCTTTCTACCACATGAACTCTGGGAGTAATCCATCATGCCTCAGTGTGCGGAAGCTGGTCAGAGAGCTACATGATGGGTCTCTGTGCCCAAGGCACTCTCAGGGCTCAAGGCAGCACATAAACTCCCCACCTTACAGACACGCAAGTCAAGCCCACCGAAAATGCAGTTCTCCAGACAGCTTACTGAAACCAGCTAGTAGTTCCCAGCATCACGCTGGGCACTTCTGTCCACAGATAGCTTTGCTTTTAATGAATCCAGAACAGAGTTGCATTTTTCTAGTCTTTAGCACTACTAAGGTATTTTATGTAACATGGCGAGAAGAAAATTTGTTTCGACAATGATAAATAACAGAGGGGATAATGTACCTTTTGCTGCTATCTTCTTTTGCTGCTCCATTTTGCTTGCGTTGTAATTGCTTTCTGTCAAAGAAACGCTTGCAAAATCCCTCATCAAGTCTTGCTGTGAAGACAGACTGCCAGAATGGTAGAGAAACTTTGAAGCTTTACAAGACCTTTGTAGCACGCGTCTTGGTCAATTTGTATGCAGATCCTTTCTTCCAGCAGGACTTTTTTGCACCGTTAGCGCACATTGAACTGAATCCAGTACAAAAGCAGTGAATAGAGGAACTGTTCTCTTTTCATTTGAAGGGTGATAAAAATGCATATCAAATAAAAGCATTTTAGAGCAGCAGGAAGATTTTCTATGTAGCCAGCAAATCATAAGATGCATATTTACCGGTTGGGTTCCTTTCAGAATTTACAAGAATTCCAGACAGAAAACACAGCTTAGTAAACTGCAAATCTAAATAACAGTATCTAGAAAGGTGACATGAAAAAGAGCAAGAGGAAGAAAACCAAAAAGAAAACCAAAGGAAGCCAGAAATAAGGCACAACCTCTCCTCCTTTTCTGCTTACTACAGTACCTTAGAAGTACCTTCGAGTGTCCTAACAGTCACATAAGTAGAAAACTGTGCCAAGAACAATTGTGGAAAACTGTGGAAAACCGTGCTATCCGAACAGAAACATAGGGTTTGCTTTCACGATGATTAAATCTGCATGCAATGTGTACGGTAAGGGTATGTTTTGAATATTCAAAAACAATTTAAAAATATTTCCAAATTGAAGGGACTGCTTTTTATTTGTTTTGAATTACTTGGCTAAATATGGCGCACGTTAAAATACTGCAGACGTGGTTCATTTTAGAGTTGCCAACTGCAAAGGAGGGAAGCATTTTGTGTGCTTAAGAAAGTAAAGTATTGGAGAGTGCTTTTGTTACTTCTTTAGAAGGTTAGAATATGCGTAAAAGGTGCTAGCTGGGGACTTACAATTAATGAATTATTTGCTGTAAGTAGGTCAAATGACATTAGCTTTCAAAAATAAAAAGTCGTCTTATTCCATGTGTCAATTCTAAAGTAGATTAATAACCCTTAAGCAGAATATGGATATGAAGAGGGATATGACATGAAAGGTTAAGCAACACTGGTGACAGCAAAAGGCTTACCTGCTTCACACAAATACAGGAGATAAAAGACTATTTTTACACAAACATTGCTATTCAGAGCTTTCCTTGAAAAGTTTCAATGCCAATCATGACAGTAAAATTCTGAGTGACTGTAAAATTTACTCAATCATGAATAACATTTCCTCAGTCATGACAGTAAAATTTGCTCAATCATGAGTAAAATTCTTAGTGTAAGCTAAGTACCTTAAGCAAAGGGTAGCTCAAGCATAACTGGTATTTGATGTCAAAAAAGGCAACTTGGCATGAGTTTGTCACATCTACTCCATTAAAAGGCTTACTCTGTCTCAGATTCCTTTTGAGGGATACCAATGCAAGCCGTGATACTGCATGAAAATGATGATTTAAAGAAGGATATATTAGAAGAATGGAATAATGGTTAATGTTCTTTTCCTTCCAACTGCTTTGTTTGCCCTTTTAAATTTTTGAAGTCCTTTCTGGTATCACCATGGTAGCACTGCAGCAAGTGTTCGGTTGTAAGCTGTCCATATTGCCAGCTTCTGGACTGCCTTCAGAAAACTTCCCACTGGTTTCGTATAGAAATCACAAGCAGTAGATAATAACCTCTCATTTGGCGTTATTATAAGGCAGAGCAATAGGGCTCAGGAGCTCAGTCCCTGGGTAGGGACTGGGTGCCCGAAGCTAGCTCGCTCATGCCAACGCCGCAGGGCTACCATCTAGCAAGCATGGTGATTATCAGTTCTATAGTGATTTCAAGCTCTTAGGATTTCAGCTCTGCTTGCTAGGTAGTGGTGCCCTGGGCTTGAGGCTGCAGCAGACGGAGAGAGAGGAGAAGGAGAAGGCGCAGGCTGTTCCACGAAGATGGCTTTATTTGGGGAGGTCCGTGAAGGGTCTCTGCTCTTCTTCTTTCTCCCCTAATGGGGTACAGTATGCTTCTTTTATAGGGTTGGAAAGGATCCAAGCTTGACCAATGGGTAAGGGGTTAACATGACATTGCCTTATAGGGTTACAGAGATAGGTTAAGGGTGGAGGACAGGGAAACAGGAATTTTCTTTTGCTGTTTCAGCATTCCTATTGTTCATGTTCTCCATGGTACTTTTCCTAAATCTATGGGGTTTACTACAAGTAGAGATGACAAAGACTGCAGAAACCTTCTCATCTCCTTCTAGAGCAGGACCATGTCTTTGACCCACTCTTAGCTAGACAACTTTCATCAGTCATGAGGGAGTCTCATGTTCAAGAGCTAAGTAGTTACAGCTGTAAATGACAAAAAGCACACTGAAATTCTCTTGGGACTCCAGCACAGAGCAATGAAGGAGCTTGAATTCACCTTCTTGGGAAGTTTTAAAATGCACATTAACTTTAGGACAGGAGCTAAGCCATCATAACCTTTGCTTAGTATGTCTGCGTAGACAGAGTTTCCATCACTGCAGAAGGAACTTCATTTAACCCATGTTATCATCTCTAGCCACTAAGCTGCACTTACTGTAGAGTATCCTCAACATATTTTACAGAGAGAAGTATTTTGGGGGGGGGGGGGGGGGGGAAGGAACCCCTAACTCTTAAATATTTCAAATAATGGTGACAATTTAAAGTCAAAAAATATGTAAAACCTTTCTTTCCTAGACGTATTACCAGCACAAACTGTACCAGAATTTACGACGCTCTTGATTATGACAGCATAACTCTACCGTGGACGCTCTTGCTCTGGACTATTCCTTAAGAAACAAAGTCCTCGCTAGAAATAAAATTAGCCAAAATTTTTTGCTGGATGATTTCAAAGGCTATGTACTAAAGACCAAACATTTGTAATAATAGTAATGAGTGGGCTAAAAGTTAAGTAAATACAGCATAACTCAGTTCAAAGATATCTTGTGTCCTAATGTTCTCACAGAAGACTGTAAAAAAACCTCTATTTTTGCAGGTTTTGTTTTATCCATTTAGATGTACCTTCTACTTCTTTCCACTGTATGAGAATGTTTATGACAAGGTTGGCTGATATCATGCAAAACAAAAGAACAATAATAATTTAACCCCCCCTATTTTCTGTGAAAAGTAAAGGCACAGACAAGAAAGAAGAACTGCAAAATTCTCACTAGAAAAACGCACCTTATCAGGCTCAAGTATTTTGTGGTACATTTCTTGATGTTTTCTCATGCCAAACATCTTAACCATTGAAGGTGTCCCTTTTCTCTTTCTGGAATACAGCTAGGAAGATGGCTGTGTCATTGCTGACAAGCTGCTATTCTCAGAGGTGTCCAGCTGAAAGTCCTAGATCAACTGATTTGCTCTGTCACTTTAATATGGCATGACTTAACCACTTACAATTTCAGCACCTGAAGTTGCCCAGCCCTACAATTCTTTACCCCTTGAATGGTTATAAAAGCTCCTTGGCAACTGGCATTTGTAAGTACATGAAACTATGCAGAATTAGCACTATGAGATGATGCCAAATGAGTCACGCCAGTAGATTAACTAGGGCATGCAAAGCAGAGAGGGGGGAATGAGAGCACAAGAAGAGAGTACAATCTACTTTTTTTTCTGCAACAGGGCTAACACCGTAGAAATCAAAATTAACACAGATCCTCCTAGGGGTAATTTTTGCCAAAGCCTTCCTTTTGTGTTCATAGGCCTGGAATATATAGCTTTGGAATATCAACTCGGTTACAAATGGAACTGCAGGAGGGAGCCACCATTGTTATGATGAACTTTGATATGTGTATAACCTCTCATGGGGATCCATCTTTATCATGCACATCACATTTTATAAGAGAAGAGGCACTGTTGAATGGCTTCAGTGAAAAAAAAAAAAATCTTAAATGCACGCCGAATGGAATGAGGATCCAAAGGAATCAGTATTTCAAGAAAGCCTGAGATATTCCCTGACTGAGATCCCTTCTCAGATGTTCATTTAAGGTACCAAATTCTCCATTGAAATACTGGCAGATTAGTCAGAGGGGAAAAGCAATCTTTTTAAATGGTCCTTTGGGAAGACAGGGCTTGCAGGGAGTTTAGTACTTGCTGCTATGTTGCCTACATTCCAGGAAAGAGTATTAAATACTGAAATACGACCGATGGAAGATGAAGTCTTTGTGAATATGAAAGTTGAGTGTGTGGCAATCTCAGAAAAGAACCCATCAAAGCCCTTGAAATGGCAACACACAAGTTGTGAGCTGGCAGTGCATGCCAGTTTTTAGCAAACCACAGCAAAATGCAGATGACAAAACGAGGCCATTAGGTCACATACAGTATGAAGCAGTATGAAAGAGGAAAGCAGCTGAGAGCATCAACCCTGCTAAGTAGTCTCAGTATGCTTATTGACATTAGCAGAAATTTGAAATGAGTCTATGAAAATTACAACAGAGGCAAAAGAAAAGGGAGCAATGACTCCTCTGGCATAGTGTTTTCTAATAGGGATCTTCAAAATGTAAAGATTAAGGGGGCTATGTTTGGCTGAAATCTATGTATACAATAGAACAATACAAGTTTAATAATTAACATGAAAGTTATATACCGATAGAATATAAAAACACGATCATCTCAAATGTATGGTCGGAGTCAGATTTGAGTTGAATACTCCTGACACCCAGAGCTCTTAATAAAAGCACCTGCATATAATCGCTTATGTGATTATGTGTTTCTGAACGCTAACATTTTGGCGACCCCAGATGGGACCCTGTGGGTGCTGCTGAAGCGAGTTTCGCGACTCGACCACGCTCCAGCCGGCACTGAGGGATTCTCGGGGAGCCCATCGGCCGTGACCGCTTCTGCTGCTCACAATGTCCCCGGGAGAAAGGTAAGGTGCTTTTTACTTTTGTTTGGGTGCCTGCCGATAAGACGCAGTGAAAGCTACACTCGGCTGGGCTAAAGGAATTCCTAGTGGTATTGCCCAGGCGCCGTTACATAAGGCAACCGCAAAAGCGTTGTGGGTTCGGCAATTTGTGGTGTATTTGGAATGGAGAAACTTAAAGGGATTTTGCGCAGCAACACCTCT